TTGTATATATATTTGTGTGTGGGGTATTTTGGAGGAACTTACTAAGCTTCGTTCTTACCTAGCTGTTTATAAGTGTTTCTCAGGTACCAATAGTGATTGTAGGAAGGTGAAGGCGTGATTGTACACATCCTCATGTTGATTCATGTTTTGAGAGATTTTTGATACTCTGATTCTATGGTTTTGATTTGAAAACAATGGTTTAGTATCTTATGGTTTTATGGAAATCTTTTTTAAAAATGAAAAATTTATCATGGTTTCGGGGAAGTTAAATTAGTACACCATAATTGACATAGGCACTAGCTTGCCTTAGGATAAGATGCCTAATTTTTTCTTATGTGCTAAATGATTTGTAACATAGCATGCCTTAGGTTGCCTATTTAAATTGCTATTATTAGGATTAAGGTCTGTCTCCAACCTGGAATTAGAAAATTTTATGTACTAAGGTTTCTAAGTGTTTAATTATAGTATTAGAACTGACATATAACTTTCGGAGTAATAAAGAGAACTATTCGTGTAAACATTCCCTGTTGATAATCTCGTCTTGGTACACTAAATGTCTACTTTGGTGTATAGAACTTCATGGTGAGGGAACGAAACGGATTAGCAAACGGTAATGAAAACTGATAGCCTGAGCCTCGTATAATTGAGCATACACCAAAGGCAATAACCGCACCCGATCCAATCACGATGGAAATGATACATGTAATGTTAGATCGTTATATGGAAGAGACTATGGATTTACTTTAAGGGAAGAAAGATGAACCTACTGCACCCATCATGCAATGTGAGTTGGAAGAGGAACAGTCGGAGGAAGGAAACTATAGTTGGATTGTTAGCCAAGCTGAACCCCGAATGATTAAGAAGAACAACCCTGATGAGGGGAATGAAAAAGATGGATGCAAGTAAAAGGAATTCATGGCATCCAAGCCGCCAAGTTTTTCTGGAAGCCCAAAACCGGTGGAAATTGTGGATTGGATCTCCAAGATGCAAATGGTGTTCGAAAGCTGTGATTGCAGGGATAAGCATAAGACAATCTTCGCTACTAGAAAAATTAAGTCTGGCGTATTGAGATGGTGGAAACTATTAGCTAACTCCATGCCAAAGGGAGAAGCAAGGAAGATGTCTTAGGATGATTTTCTTGTGTAGCTGAAAACAGAGTACTACTCTGAGCAAGACCTTCTTGTAATCAACAACAAATTCCAAAACCTGAAGAAGGGAAAGATGAGTGTCAGCGAATATGTTGCTACATTCGCTGAGAAAATGAAGCTAGTACCCCATTTGGTACCCACCGAACTCTCCAAGGTTGACAAATTTTTGTAATGGACTATCAGCGGACTTTGGTCCAATGGTGAAAATAGAAAAAACTCTAAAGGAGGCTATCTGGTCAGCTAAGGATGTGGAGACCCAGATATGAGAGAAGGGTCTAAAGAGAGCAGAGACAGGAGAGAATAGGAAGCTTGAAGCATCTTCAAGATCCGACATGAAAAATTAGTTATCGAAGTTTGACCCCAATGACAAGAAGTTTGGGGGTAACAATGAAGACAAATGGTGTGATAAGTGCAAGAAGAAGCACCTTGGGAGATGCGAGGGGGAGGTGACCTGCTACAAATATGGAAAAGCGTGTCACTATTCCAGATATTATACGTTCAATGATAAGAAATGTTATGAATATGGAGATGGTGGGAATAATTCAATGGACTTCCCAAAGAAAAACAAAGCAGCAAGGCCGAATGTGCCACTGAAGGCAAAGGCCAGAGCATATCATATGATACTTTATGAGGAAGCAAGATGGCGGGAATTTGGAGCTGCTTTTCGGGAATACTTTAAGGAAGGAAGCATATAAGTAGTAATACCCTATGTAGTCCATGCAAAAGGCGTGATGTATGATAAGTTGGAATAACAATGTAAGCGTCTAAGAAGCAATATATATTCCTAAATTACGCTATTCTATGTGGCTTTCTTTATGGTAACTTAGTGAACTGCGAGGGAATTCTTGGGACGTGTATGAGTAGGTGTGAAAGCTAGTAGAGGCCTATACTACCGGAAGCACAAGACTCGCACTTGGATCAGGGAAAATTACAAGGTTACTAAGTCTCTAAGTAGTTGAGTTATTTTGTTCATTTCCATCATTACTTTTGTTTCGGTAATGATTACGAAGATAACTATTATTCCTGCCCTAGTGATCATATCAAATCGAGTCCGACTAATCTAAGAAGAAATTTCAGTGTAACTTCCGACTTTAGATTATAAGAAAAGATAATCGAAGCGATTGATGAAGTATCGTAGTCATGGATAAAGATTAAAACAACCAATATCTAGAAGTGATACATGTTAGAATGTGATTATATCACATTAGAACATGAAGGAAGCTATCGTCCATGTTGGAGTTTGATTCAAAGAGATCTGAGTCCAGCCATTGTATCATACGATGAGAGGTCATTAGAAAATGACACATCGGTCTGTTACGATAGTCAAAATAAAGACCTTATCTCAGGAGCAGGAGTCTCCAACGAGGATCGAATTTAGAAGGAAGAGCAGGTGTAGGATTGAGCACCATCAGTAGTCAAGAAGTCTAAGAGTTGGAAACTCATTTGAAAAGACAAAAGAGTTATGATTATTACTAGAGGTGGCAAAAACTGACACGACCCAAAACTCAACCCAAAATCAACACGAAATAAACAGGTTTGGGTTAGAGATTTTGGCACATTTAATTAAACGGGTTGACAGCACAAGACACAAATATTAAATTGGTAAGGTTAGGGTTAAGATTCTCAACTCGAAAACGACACAAAAATAAGTCATTTGTATATATATATATATATATATATATATATATATATATATATATATATATATATATTATAAATTTTTTTATATTTTATAAATACATCATATAGAGATATAATTATAGATTGTATTGGGCTAAAGAAACATATTGGGCTGTAATTGTGTTCAAAGGGTATTAGGCTAATAAAATAGTTTTTTGACCTAATTACGTGATGACATAATTTATTTCCTTCTAGTTTCCTCCGCACACCAGTGACCACAATCCAAACTCCACGAAACCACCAAAACACTCTTGATTCTCGTCTTTTTTCACCCCACCGGTCATTCGTTCAATCGTTCCTTGTGAGTCACAACAACTACCGGTTTACTTCCTCCCACAGACCAATCATTTCTTGTTTACATCGTTCTTAGGTTTTATTCTTATGTGTTTTTTTTTCCAGTTAAGTTAACCATAGATGAACCAATCAAGTTGTCTAGTGATGAAATTGATGTCTCTGATTAGGGGTGAGCATAATAACCGAAAACCGAACCAAAACCAAATTAACCGATATAACTGAACCACAATAACCGAACCATTTTAAAAACCGTTGGTTTGGTTTCTAATATTTGTTAACCGATAACTAACGGTTCAGTTATGGTTTTATAGGTTAACCGAACCATTATTAACCGAACCGCTAACTTTATATATTAATATATAAAAATTATAGATTATATATAAAATAATATAGTCAAACTTATTTAAGATCCATTCAAATTTTGAAAATATAATCCATTAATCCTCACTTATCAAGAGACGAACGAGCAATCAAACCATCAAAAGGCTGATCAAACAGACACACACAATCTTCCAATCATGGATAGAGTTAGATTATTGATTAATGTTGTAATTCCTAATCGGCTAATTCTACAATTTGTAAATATTATTAACAATTAGTTTAATCTTCACACTCATAATCGTAATCGAAGGCTTCTCATACCGTTAATTCGAATCAAAGATTTTTTTTGACTTTATAGTCCTATTCGAAGGATTTTTTGACTTTATAATTAAGTCTTCTATGTAAGTTAAGTTTTTGGTTCTTCTTGACTCTGTGATATATTAAGAATGTATTTTTTTGAATTTTTTTGGATTTTTTTTTATTTACTGTTTTTGACTTAATCGCATTGAATATATATGAGTGATTGACTTTTTTTTTTCATCCAATAACACATAATATGAATGTTTGACTCTTTTATTTTATAGTTTTTGATTTAATCGTATCGAACGTGTATGAGTGTTTGACTTTATTTTAATATTAATATCAATCATCAATATATGAACTTATTAATGTCAATTTTTTTTAATGTTTTATATTTTTATTGAATGTTTTTGATTTTGAATGTGACTATGTGTTATCTCACTCTATGTATTAAAGGTACACATTTTATTCTATTATTATAAGTTAGGTTACAAACATTGGCGTCAAGGACTTTTTGGTATTTTATTTTCATTTTTTACGTCAATATACTTTCGTCATTTATATTATTTTGAACATTATGGTTAACCAATATTAACCATTAACCAAAATCGTTAACCGATAAAAACCATTAACCATAACCAATACTAACCATACCCAATGGCTACCAAAATGCATTAACCAATCATAATGGTTATGGTTCGGTTTTAACCAATAACCGAACCAAACCGCCCCATACACACCCCTGTCTCTGATAATGAAATGGAAGATGAGATGGAAGATGAGGTTTGTAGTGCTCCACCAATTTCTAATTAGAATATGCATAAACCGAATTTTTCTGGTAACCTTGTCAGACACAAACGTAAGCTTACTTCTTGTGTTTCAAAAGCCTTTGAAATACTTAAAGAGTTAGATAGTAAGGGAAATATGTTGTGCAAATGCAAGAAATGTAGGACTCGTATATAGCTAAAAGTAGTCATGGGACAGGGAATTTACTTAGGCATAAAAGGGCTTGTAATTTGAAAAACAAAATTTATAAAGATGTTGGAAAACTTCTTATACAATATAATTTTAAAGGGTCTTTGGTACTAGATCTCCTAATTTTAAAGGTGATGAATTTCGTGAGTTGGTTGTTGTTGCTATTGCTAGCCATAATCTTCCCTTTCAATTTTTAGAATATGAAGGTATTAGGAAATGTTTTGCTTACTTATATCTAGAAGTTAAAATATTTTGCAGAAATAGCATAAAAATATATTCAACATGTATTCAATTGAGAAAACAAAGCTTTGTGATTTGTTGCAACTTGTTCCTGGTAGAATAGCATTAATGTCAGATTGTTGGACTTCTATGACAACTGATGGGTATATTTCATTGACTGCTCACTTTGTTGATCATAAATGGTGCTTGCAAAAAAGAATTTTAGCTTTTACTTCTATGCCTCCTCCCCATAATGGTGCTTCCTTAGCTGAAAGAGTTTCTGGCTTGTTAAAACAATGGGGAATTGATAATAAAATAGTTTCCATAACCTTAGATAATTCATCTTCAGATGATTCTATGGTTGATGCACTAAAGTTTGATTTGAATTTGATGTATGATGGTGATTATTTTCATTTTCATTGTTGTGCTCACATCCGTAATTTGATTGTACAAGATGGCTTAAAAGAATTAGATGGAGTTGTCGTTAAGGTGAGTGATATTGTTAAGTATTGCAAAGGTTCTCAAGCTAAATAAAACATTTTTGCGTTGTGTTGAATATGCTGGCCTTGAGTCCACAAGAGGGCTAAGGCAAGATGTTCCAACTCGTTAGAATTCTACATATCACATGTTAGATAGTGCATTATATCACAAAAAATCGATTCTTCATTTAGCAAAGACTGATGAAAACTATGTTCATTGCCCAAGCTTAGAAGAGTGGAGCAAGATTAAAAAAATTTGCAACCTTTTGCAATTTTTCCATGATGTGACTAGCTTTTTCGGGTTCTAAGTATCCAACATCCAATCTTTATTTTCCTAATAATTTCAAGATAAGATTGCTTTTGCAAGAGGAGAAGGAAAATGGTGATACTTTTATAAAGAACATGGCTAAAAAGATGCATTTGAAGTTCGACAAGTATTGGTGTGAGTTTAGTATTATTATGGGCATTGCCATTGTTTTTTTATCCCCGTTACAAGTTTCATTTTATTGACTGGGTTTTCAAAAAGATATATGGTTCATCTTTTGATATTGAGTTGGATTTGTTTAAGAAAAAATTATTTTCCTTGTTTGATGAGTATGCGGCAGTTAGTGCTACAACCAAAACAAATGAAAGCTCATCTCATTCTGGTGTTGCCAATGCTAAGTTGGACACATATATGACAGTAATAATTTTCTCCTATCTTATTTTATGATTTTTTTTTTGTATTTGCCTAACTTCTACATTTTTTGTTAGGATTTTGATGATTTCTTTAGTTGTGAATTTTTCTACCGGTGGTAAATCTGAGTTGTAATCTTACCTAGAGGAGCCAAAATTACCTCGCACGAGTGATTTGAATGTGTTGGAGTATTGAAAACATCTTCAATGACGGTATCCCATTGTTTCTCAGATGGGTAGAGATATTTTGGTCATCCCAATATCTACTGTTGCTTCTGAATCTGTTTTAAGTATTGGAGGAAGAGTTATTGATGCCTATCGTAGTTCATGGAAGAAAAACATTGTTGAAGCATTGGTTTGTCTTAGAGATTGGGTTTTTAATGAAGGTAAAATCTGAATTTATAAAATTCTACATTTATAGTTTCTGCATTTACAAAAAAATTGCATTTTAACAAAAATTTCACTTACAAAAAATTGCATGTTGTTTAATATGCACGTAATGCTAATATCAGTTTTTATATTTGTAGGTTCAATGCAACTAGATATTGAGGCATTATGCAAATAGACTTTAACAATGAAGATTGACAATGTGAATGAAGATGAAAGTGATGTACCAAGTACTCCTAGTATTCAAACTCAGCAATCCGGTTTAGGTTAAATATTTGAAGTTGAATTCTCGTATTACTTGTAGTTTTTTTTAATGTTGTAGATGTTTGATGTTTTGAAAACTTGCTATTTTTTTGGGTTGTAAACTTCTCTTCATACTTTGAATGTGTAATGCTTTAAATTGTGAACTTCAAGTTTTGATCTACTGATTTGGTTGTTTACATTTATGATGTAAAATTTAGGAAATTTTATTCTTTAAATGGGTAAAACGGGTTAAGCCGGTAAAACGGGTTACATGGGTTAAACAGGTTGCACGGATTAAACAAGTTGTGTCGGGTTAGAGTGTTTTATACGTGTCGAGTTCAGGTCAACAATTTTTGACCCGTTTAATAAAGAGGTCGTGTTCGTGTCACGTATTTCCAACCTATTTAAGTTGCGACACAACACGAACCCGACACGACACGGACCTTTGCCACCTCTAATTATTACCTAGGATGGAAAGGTAATGTGTGGAATCATTATACAAGTCCCGTCTTGCTGATGATTCTGGGACGTAATCATCCTAAGGGGAGATAATTGTAACACCCGCAACATCAGGCTCGTTAATTAAAAATAGGATAAGCAAAAAACGACTTTTTATAAAATATTATTTAGGATAAATAATCTTAATCAAAGTTATATTATATGTGACAAGGATTCCATACATATAAAGAACTCTGAAATCCGACTTTGTATGAAGAAGTTATGTTTATTCGAAATTTTGGGATTAAACCGACTCGACTCTGCATATCATAAAAAGTGATTTTTTGATAAATTACTTTTTAGTGTAAGTAATCTAAATGAAAGTCGTAGTAGTCGTAAAACCAAGAGTGTGCATATAGAGAACGTCCAAATCTGATTTCACAAGAAGAAGTTATGATTTTTCAAAGTTTCAACACAGCAGAACGAACACCGAAATTGAATTTTTGATCGGTTGATTTTTAGACGAAATAATTTAAACTAGACTCTACGATCTCATTAATAGGATTTCATAGATATAAAAATAGTCAAGAATGGATGTCGGACGAGAGAGTTATGAATTTTTAAAGGACGTTAGCAGTCTAAGTCAATTAAAAATATAACTTTAAAAATAAAGTCAAATTAGCCGACAAAGTCTAAATGAAAAATGTAGATATTGTTGATAGCTACGCATGAATATAAAATACATCGAAAATGAAGCTCATATGTATAAGACGTGAATTTTTAAAGAAAATAGAATTTTTCGCACGCATCCATGCACACACACATCAGGTACGGCGCGCCTCTGACAACCTATAAGAACTCGCCATGTGTCACGATTTCATTGGAGCCATGTCATCACCTGACAACTTGGCGGTGCCCAGACAATGTGTGCGGCACGCAATACCTTTTTTTGCATAAAAATAGCGTTCGAAGTTTAGATAATTTCCACACCAAATCAACAATTCTCTCTCGAGTTTCTCTCATCCTTAGCCTATTTTCCTTTAAGTTTTTAGTCTTCGGAAAAGCCCTAAGGTCCCTAGGAGCCCGACAACTAATAGCTATCAAGCCAGAGTAATGCCAGTTCAATTTCTAGACTGTTGTCTAGGAAATCTCTGTAAGTTAAATTACACTCAACTTTATTTTTGTGTAATTTATATTTATATTCATAGTCGTTATGAATTTATATATACTATTTGTCAATAATTCCAAGTCATTATACTGGTTGATCAACTTACATGGGTGATGTCTAGGAAAGATTTAGTGAGGTATTTAAAGTGAGATTTCCAAATAGTATATTTTGTACACCAAACGGACCCTTCCTTCCATATGATCTTACATAGCTACTCCTTACTTGATAGATCTTAATGTAGACATTTGGATTATTGAGGAATCTAGATTATTATTAGTCATAAGAAATAATAAACTAAGACTAAGTGATAATTGAACCTAGGGCACATCAAAAGAAATTCTAAGTGTTGAAGTGAAGCGTTGTCCAACTTTCCAGTCATCTATTTTATCAAGTGAGTGCATAGTTACTTTCATCTTAAACATAAATTTGAAGTATTTAGATAATTAAATGCTAAATGTGCCTATTATCTATATTATGTGTTCAATGAACCTATATGATATTAATTTACTCGATTTAATTATATAAGTATTTTCGTACTTATTATTATTATTATTATTATTATTATTATTATTATATATATATATATATATATATATATATATATATATCTATATATATATATATATATATATATATATATATATATATATATATATATATATATATCGGGTAGTGATGGATGATGAGAGATGATTAGGAGAAGTCTTTAACCATGAAAGTATAGGAGATGTCATGACTTTTACATGCGATGATTGTGATGTGTGCGATGTAGTCATGTATCAAAGTATAGATGACAACCACAGACTAATCTAAACAGTACAGTGGAACACCGACATGATTGCAACCTGTAGGTGATGAATTATAAGTTCATGCGATGTACGAATTGTGTATGCATGAAATGTACTCTACCAACATGTATTGTGGAGGTATCCCCGAAGTAGTACTGTCAATGCGGTGATATGCGATGACCCATATGAGAAGTCCTAAGTGATGAAATTATAAAATGCGATGATTAGGCGACGAGCCTTAGGAGAAGACTTTAGCGATGAATTTTGATGTAGGTGATGATCCTTAGGAGAGGATCTTAGAATGAATATAGAAGAAAACGAGGATGGGTAATTGGGTTAATTGTTTGATAATTAAACATATTAAACTATATTATTGTACGTTGAAAATAATATGTACTCACCAGGTTACCCAACCTGTGTCACACCCCAAAACCAACAACAGCGGAAACGTTCTGGGGTGGAGGACGTCATGTACAGTATCACAACAATGCATAATAGTAAAGACAAGCAACAACATCCATTGCATTAATATAATAATTGTAATACAAGCGTGTTCTGTATAGTTTGTAAGACACCAAAAGTATAATCAAAATAAAAGATGAGTCTTGTATGTGCTCCATCTTCTCAAAAGCATCATCTGTACATGTCTACTGATAACCTGAGAATACAAGGTATTTTGAAAGCGAGTATCAGCATAAAGCTGGTGAGTTCATAAGTATTTAGTGTCATTACTTGTATAAAAATGTTAGTAACAATGTAGTTCAGTAATCGATTTCAAATCTTTGTAAATAGTCTACTCCCTGGAAAGCCCTATGTTTTCCAGTAAAAAGGTAGTCTTCTACCAAGACCCGAGTGTTTGTATAATTGTCCTTTTGTAAATGTAAGGGTTTTCCCTAGTGAAAACTACTAGTATAAAAATATAGTTTACTTAAACGAGTATGTGACAAAGTCACAAAGTAATGAAAAACAGAATCCAGGTGGTACTGAATGAACAATACGCCTCGAAAAGTCTAAAGTAGTAATATGTGGACTCCAGGTGGTACTGAATGAACATTACACCTCGAAAAGTCCAAAGTAGAAATATGTAGACTCCAGGCGGTATTAAGTGAACCATTTGCCTCGAAAATTCTACTTTTGCCTTAAATCCTTATTTAGTTAATTTCAGGTTTGAATGTGAACTCGTATGTAACCATGCTGATTGACGGCCGCATGACTGATGACCCTCCAGGTCACACATAGTATGGTGACATTTTGTCACCCCTGGGCCTTATCGGCTTAGACTGTAGCTAGTAGTCGGGATGTGGGAGTGACTGTCCCGTATAGATCTATACATATAATGCCCGCTCTCCCTCCAGG